CTATACTATATATATATATATATATATATATATATATATGTAAGTCTTTATCTGTGTACATTTTGTTACAACATTATATAAATCATACGAGTATGATGTATAATTTAAAACATTCACATGTCGCATTTAACAAATGTTACAATATATTTTAGCTCTCACAATTAATCTGTTTATTTAAAAATCGTCTGAAGTCTGCTGCAAATTCCAAATCTTTTTAAATCAGAATATTGAAAACAAGCAAAAGTAATGATATACATCTATACTCATCAATCTTAACAGCATTATTATTGTATACAATGCCCACATAAGGTTCCAAATTTGTATCATTATAGTGCTGAAAGTACCAGTTGAAAGGACTGTTATCTGTCACTTTGGCCTCATCGTCGATGATAAACGCCTCGTTCTGGCTTTCAGTTGTCGTTTCGTCAATAATTTCGGTGCTTCTCTGAGCAGCACCGATGATTGACTTTTGTTTTTCTCTAGATTGCTCTGCATTGTAGCTGAGATATGGCGAGGCAACCTTAGTTATCGTAGATCTACCAAGCGGACGTAGATTTACCGCGGGTCCCGAAGATGGTACTTGTCCTCCCGGAATCAGAAGAGCAGATAAAGCGGATGCCTCCGTTCCTCGGAAAGTCATAGTCGTAGTTTCCTTAGACCGTGGATTTGATGTAGAAGACGTTGGGAATGTTGAGAAATACGAAACCTGCGATTCCGCATTCGTTTTTGCCGTTTGCAAATTATCTGAGATAAATTAAGAAATTTTGTTATATACATATGATGATAATGATACTAGTATATACATATGATGATTATTAGAACATTTGTAAAACTTTTAACAAATTTAGAGTTAATCTTGGAAATTCAACAATGTATAGAGACTATAATAAAAAATTTAATTTTCTTATCAAATTAAGTCTTTTTAACAGTACAAACAAATAACGAAATCGGCTTTCGTCGATTAATTTAAGTTAATTTAAATTAATTTAATTAAGTTAATTTAATTTAAAACAGATTTTACTTTTTTTAGTTATTTATTTGAGAGTGAGAAGATTTATGATGCAATATACATACGTGTCGAACATTTTGAAGTCCAAGAAAAGAAAACATTTTGAAATTCCAAGAAATCAAGAAACATAATAATATTTCACGCTAAGTGTATTATAAATAAACTTACTGGATTCTTCGAGAGAGTCATTCGTATCATTTAAAGGAGTTGGATCTTTTTCGTATTCAGATATTTTGAAGTTCCAATCTTCGGATCCTCTTTCTATCGATGATACCTCCATAGCTGCCGTTACAATGTCTTTTGTAATTGTAGTTTTTTTTGTTACCTCTACTACAGTTTTTGGTGTCGTCCAAACTATCTTACTGGCAACTTCCATTCGCGGCTTCTCTATAAATTTAGTATCTTCCGTATTTACTTCTAAACTTTTACCGCCGTAAATCTCGGTGGACACCGACGTTTCGTGAGCTTCTTGCGATGAGTCCTCTTCTATGATTACCGGCGCACTGCTTTTTATTGTGTTTGATGCATTAAAGCTAAACAAAAAAAAAAAACATTCAAAAATTAACTGAAAATAAATAAATACCAATGTGACGTCCATAAATTTAAAGCAATTTTTCTTTAATTAAAATGTCAAGGTAAACATATATGCAATTATTCAACTATAAACCATTCAAGGAATTAATTAAAAAGAATAATCTTGTCTAAATTGACTAAAGAATATTTTGTCTTCATGTTAAATTTAGAACCTTAACTGCATATTAAATTTAAAACGTTGCAATAAAAAAAAGAATAATTCAGATGATTCACCTGATTCCAGTGACATTGGGTAAAACCTTGCGAGACTCAAAACCAGTCGATCGATCGAAAGTCGACACGGTGGTTACTTCTTCCTTTCCTTGGAAATTTGTATGTGGTTTCCCAATCCTGGAGATCGTTTTCTCCACCTTGATCACAGTGCCGTTTCCGCTTTTCCGAGGACGTTCCTCCTGTACCGATTTATTGCTTGCGTTCACCGATTTCATGGTGTTCTCATGCTTCGCGTGTTTCTCATATGTTAATCTAGGATCGACGCTCGGCACGAATCCACTTTGCGCACGTGGTAGAGGCACGAAACCACCTCTGTGAATTTCCGGTTCTGTGGGTGGGAAAGATCTGTAACGACCTCGACCGGGTCTGTCTGATAATGGCGACGAGGATTCTTTTCTTTCCGCTTTTCTCCCCGAATGTCCCCACAGATTGAAGTTCAAATTCGGCAAGGGTAAGCCGAAGAAGGTGAAACCGGAGCTGCTAGGCGATGGTGGCATCATGGGATTCTTCTTCACTGGTGATGTGGTATTTTTTTGGATCTGATGTTTCTGCGTTTGCGATGGGGGGTGAATAATCTTCATGGTCTGAGTAGGTGTGCTAATGGTAGACACGCTGGGCAGCAATGCATTCGTATCGTTTCTGTTGTCCTGATAATCTACGTTCTGGTACAAATAATCGGAATCCTGAGAAATGGAAGTCTGTGTCGAGGGGTCCTTTAGATTCATCCACAATGGCACTGTTTCTGTAATTCCAAATGCTGACAAATGCATTTTAATAAATTGTAAAGTAATTTCGGAAATTTTTTTTAATTATAAACTTTAGGCACATATAATTCTGATACTTTATCTAATAATGAAAAGTCGCAATTTAATTTTTCTAAATTTGCTAATTAATTTATTCTTCTTTAACTATTGATGATTTACCGGATGAAGAAACTGAAGGTGTGGCAACGTTAATCATTTCGGCCTCGCATCCTGGATGAATCAGTTCCACATATCTCTCACGCTGGCAATCCTGTCGTGATAATCTAAGTTCTTTGAAAAGAGAGCCATCAGCGCATCTAGGACCCTCCGTGGAAGTTTGTTGTAGCCATCCTCGTAACCAAAGCATGCCGCAAGAGCAGGATAATGGATTTCCTTTCTCAGAAATGAAAGAAAAACATAAATACGTAAAAGTATTAACGAATTGTGGAAATATCGATAATTTAAAAAAGAATTAAATTTAAGATATATATATATATATATAATATTTATATAATTCTTGTTTATTTAATTAATACTCTAAATTACCGTCGATATCCAAGATAGCGATATTTGACCGTAGTCTTTTAAAAGCGTTCTCAGAGACTGCAGTCATTCGATTACTTCGCAGGCTCAGTACCCGCAATCTAGGCATATCATCGAAAGGCGAGCCGTGCACGGCACAAATCCGATTATTGTCCATCTACATGCAAAAAGGAAAACGGCCATAAGATGGCTATGTAAAGCGGCTCGGCTATCTCCCTAATTAACGATGCAGGTATACGAATAATTGCTCCGCCAGCAGAACGGCCCGTCTCGCACCATGGTTCACGCAGGAGTTTCACTCTCGACGAGAAAGTATTCTTCTTTATTAGCAAAGGCTCTCACACTCTCCTTGTTTTATTTGTGATATTTTGCAAGTCCGGACGAGATAAATTTTGCACGAATCGTAATCATTTATAATTTTCAAATATTTTACTGTAGTCGTTTTAAAATTTCAAATATATTAAAAATATGAAAATACTCACTAAAGCGCGAGGCAACGCGTTTCGTCTTTTAAAATTTAGCTTATAAAATAGATTAGCTTGGAATTTTCGTTGTAAATACCTTTAATTCCACCAGCCACTCCATAGTTGCTAGACTGTGGCTAGAAACTTTAGATAAACGATTGAAACTGAGATCAAGAACCTCCAATGAGCGAAGGCTTTCCAGACCGACGTACTCCAAGTCCGGCAGGTAATTGTGACTTAGATTAAGGAAAAGTAAGTGTGGCACGTTAATGAAGGCATTACTAGCAATTTCTTGAATCCGATTTTCTTGAAGTTCCGCGCTCTGCAGTAGCGGTAATTCGGTGAAAGCGCCACTGGGGATGGACTACAAATTACGTACATTATATTAAATCTTCATTCATTTAGCTCAATATATTTATAAAGTTTATTAAGAAAGTTAGGCAATAATTTTAATATATTCGATATATTTAAAAAATTTTTTACGATAACAAATTTTGAAACTTTATTCATATATACTTAGCAAAATACATAATAAAAATATTTTGTCTAAAAATATTGTGATCCGAATAATTATTCTGCATTTATGAATGATTATGAAACTATTATTATACCTGCAATCGATTTCTGCCTAATCTGATAGCCTGTAACTCCGGTAACGCTCTGATGGCATTTCTTTCGATCACCCTGAGATCATTGTTTTCGAGATCAATCAGGGACAATCGCGGTAATCCATCGAACGCACCCTCTCGCAGCTCTCGTATATGGTTTCTGACCAGCTTTAATTCCAACAAGGACGATAGACTGCTTAGCGTTTCCGGCGATAGGATGTTCAGCTTGTTGAAGCTCAAGTCGAGGACCCGCAGAGCTGTTAAGCCGTGCAGCGATCCGGGTAACTCGGTCAAAGTATTGTGCGACGCATACAGTTCACGAAGGTCTCTATAATTGACATTGATGTTATTGTTTTAAGTGCGAAATGCTTAAACAATTCTTTTACACTCAATACATAAATGCGTAAAACATTCAGAAAAATAGACCGGAATAATTTTTAAATCGTTTTTATGACATTATTTATAGTATTTTAAGCGCATTTAAATTATACTGTATATCTTGCAATTAATAAATATAAGAGAAAGAGAGAGAGAGAGAGAGAGAGAGAGAGAGAGAGAGAGAGAGAGAGAGAGAGAGAGAGAGAGT